TACTACTACTACTACTACTACTACTACTATTACTATTATTATTGTTGTTACTATTTATAATTTATATAATTAACTTTTCTATGGTTTGATCTCGGTCTTGTCGGGTTATTTATTACTTCAACACTCCTGCACTTGGAAAAAGACATCAATCTTTGGTAGTGTCAATAACAAAAAAATCATTATGAAAATACAAAAATGCATGTTGACACCAATTTTAATATTTTTGTATCAATGGTATTTTTGTCGTATTAAAATGTGAAAAGACTTATTTATCCCTAGTCAATTTGGTAATAACTAATGAGCCATGTAAAAAGATTTCAATATTCTTGATAGCTAGTGTTAAGTTTTTCCGGTGGAGAAATAAAATTAAAATTATCATTATATTGTTCCAAAGGCCTTTTAGCTTTTGTAAATAGTCCTTGTTATATAAATTGTCTAATTTTTTTATAGCAAGATAATAACTAAATCAAGGTTGTTAAATCCATTTAAGTTGGTGTTTTGTTTTTTGAAAAGATATATTTTGGTTTTAGAGCATTTTTGTGTGTCATTTCGGAGTTATACTGTTTGTGTGTGTATGTGTGTGTATAATTCAAAATATATATTTTCAATTCAAATCTAGAGATAAATTAACTTGAAGTTATACAATTCAAATTCCAAACATAATGTCAAGTATCTAAACATAATTTCAAAATTTAAACATTCTTATTTAGTAACTACTAGATAATTAGCTCATGTTATGTTGCGGCAAGAATCAATTTTTTTAACATAAAAAAATCTAGGTGTAGCTAATATTTTTCTAGTACAAAAAAAAACTTAAAACATGTGGGAGTTGATCTAATATGATTTGATTCACTCTACAAGTTCAAAAACAACATGAACGACTGAAACAATTATAGTTTGATTAAAAAAAATTCAAGATAACATCTTTTTTTTTAAAATAATAATAAAATGACAACATATTGGATTAAACTAAGTCAATCCATATTAATCTTTCAAATGCACGACTCAAGTCATGAAAATATGATAACTCTGTATAAAATAAATAAAAACAAATTACAAAACTCAATTCCTAATAAATTCATTGTTAAATAATGAAATTGAAGAAAAAAAATCAATAAAAAAAAAGAATATGATAAAACGATCTAAGTCTATTTAGGTTAACTCACAAAACTTATGACCTGAGTTATATAAAAAATAAATTGAAATAAATGACAAAACTCATTCATAATCAACTAAATGTTGAAAATATTAAATAATAAAATTTAAAAAAATAACTGAATCAAGAAAATAAAATAATTATTTTAATTAGTGAATTGTATAATAAGATCGAGATAACTAAAAAAATAAATTATAATAAATTATAAAATTTAATTTTGAATGTTGAAATTAAAAATTGAAGAAAATAAAAATAAATTATTAACGGAGAAACGAAACATATGAAATGAGCTAGAATATACTGGTTTTTTTGGGCGTAAGAGTATAGAATTCACAACCTTGAATCAAACAGTAGCTTATTGGACACAGGAGGAGGGCAAACATGTAAGTACAAAATCGCACCGTGTCTGCCTCTGGACTCTTATAATCCCCTCGAACTCTGCACGGAGAGAAGAATCTCTTTCGGATTTCATTTCTCCTTCTTCTCCACTGTCTCACAGACCTCTCGTTCTCCTCCCCTAGAACAGAAAACCCATCAGATCGTTTCTCCTTCTTCTTCACTCTGTGTCACCACCTCTCCTTCTGAAAACACCCCAAACCTCTCTCTCTCGCTCTCTATATATATACACACACACACACACATACATATATATATCTCCCACTCTCTCTCCTTCTGAAGCAAAACTTCCTTCTTCTGAGTGATGGGTGTGAGCTGCTCCCGGTGGTCCCACGCTTCCCACATCACAGAAATCATCATCACCAGTTTCTTTCGCCACAAATCGTAAGACTGATATATAAAGACAAGAAAAAAACAGAGAGAGATCATTCAGTTCTGGAATCTGGGTCTTTCGTTTTTTCTTTTTTTGACCAGATATAGAAGCATATAGCTGTGAGCCTGTGATGGCAGCTTGATCAAATCTGTATCAGCAGGAAACAGTTTTACAAAAGCATGGCGGGTGGTACTGGTGGTTCTAATTCCAATTTGTCTGTTTTGCTTCAAAGCCAAAGAGGCCCTTGTGCTGCTTCACAACCTCTTGAATCTTTTTTCCTTTCTGGCTCTTCTCCTTCTTTTCTTGGTATTCTTTCTAACCCTGGTTCTATCTCTTTTTCCTGCTGAGTTGTTTTCAATGGAAAAATCATCACACAATTAGTGAAGTAAAAAAATCTGGCCTTTTGAACCATCCCGTCTCTACTTGTAATTTGATTATTGGTTTTCTTTATCTAGGATAATTTTGTATTTGCTCAAATTATCAAATCAGATTTCTCTAATTTATCTACTATATACATATATTCAATGGAACCTTTCTTCGTCTTTTTCCTGAGAAATTATCAGAGAAGAACACGTTCAACAATGTGTCGCAATTATTCAATATCGATCAATAAGAGCGAAATGAAAACAACCAAACCTAGTAAGATCGAAAACAAGTGATACTGCCGCAGAAATGATTGCTAATTGGTGTGTGTTGTTATTGTGATTGATTGAAATACGATCTTCTAATTATCGTGTGTCAATAATTTAGGTTCAAGATCCATGATGAGTTTTGAAGATGTTCATCAAGCAAACGGATCAACCAGGCCTTTTTTCCGCTCGTTTGATCACGAAGACAATGGAGACGATGATCTGGATGAATATTTTCATCAACCTGAAAAGAAGAGGAGACTTACTGTTGATCAAGTTCAGTTTCTTGAAAGAAGTTTTGAGGTTGAGAACAAGCTTGAACCCGAAAGGAAAATCCAGCTTGCAAAGGATCTTGGCCTGCAGCCGCGTCAGGTTGCCATATGGTTTCAAAATCGCCGAGCAAGATGGAAGACTAAACAGCTGGAAAAGGATTATGACGTTTTGCAATCTAGCTACAATAGCCTTAAGGCTGGCTATGACGACCTCCTCAAGGAGAAGGAGAAACTAAAAGCTGAGGTAAATAAACACCATCCTTTTTTTAGAGAATTCAACAACCTTGCTGCCATACGTATCTAGTATAGAAGGGAAATAAGATCGAGCAATTGTTTAATTGTTTTCAGGTCAATCTTCTCACCGACAAGTTGCTCCTCAAAGAGAAAGAGAAGGGAAGCTCAGAATTGTCTGATAAAGATGCATTTTCGCAAGAGCCACCTAAAAGGGCTATAGCTGATTCAGCTTCCGAGGGTGAAGTGTCGAAAATCTCAACAGCGGCCTGTAAGCAGGAAGATATCAGCTCAGCCAAAAGCGACATATTTGATTCAGACAGCCCACATTACGCTGATGGGGTGCATTCCTCACTCTTAGAGGCAGGAGATTCTTCATACGTTTTCGAACCCGATCAATCAGATTTGTCACAAGATGAAGAAGATAACTTTAGCAAGAGCTTATTGCCTCCATACGTCTTTCCGAAGCTTGAAGATGACGATTACTCTGACCCGTCTGCAAATTTTGAAGATCATGCCTTTTGGTCCTGGTCATACTAAGTTACACTTGGTATATATCATCGTTTGTTGTTCTTCTTGTTTACTCGCAGCTTCTTATGCATTAAAGCAATAAATCCACTCACGGCGCCCCAGCACAGATCTGTGGTGCTGGGGTGGGTTCTCCTGGTTGTAGTTGGAAATGATGATGATCTTTGCCCCGTTTGTAATCTTGGCTGGGTCTGGGGGCCTTTTTTTTTTTTTTTTTTTTTTCCCCGTTTGTAATCTTGGCTGTGTCTGGGGTCCTTTTTTTTCTTCTTTTTTTTCCTTTTTTGCCCTAAACTAGATGGAACTTTCAGAACCTGTTGTAACTAAATTTCCTTGAAAAGTTTGTATGGGAAGGTAATGCATCTCGTGTTCGAAAACTGTTCCTTGATTTCCACGCTTAGCTCGTTGATTAAGCAACTACTCCTGGTGACCTTACAGAATTTAAATGTGTTGTGTTCGTGTTCAAGTCAGCAGTGAGACTTGATTCTCTTTAATCGGCAAGATTTTTAATGTTTTTTTTAATTTTGTTCTGTCCTCTTTTGGATATTAATCTTATGCACAAAAAGATACGAACAGATTTCAATAAACAAATCAAATCTGTCAGTGGATATGGTACCCCGTCCTGAACTCTGCTTATCCTGTTCCCGCGAGACTCTAATTAAATCTTAGTTGTTGCTGCATCATGAGAGCTGTTGTGTAATTACTTGTGGAGGATTGGAGAGCGCGGTATGCCGGAAAGTTGGATGCTGTGTTCGGAAAGGATGAATCGCAATTAAAAAAAAAAAAATTAATTTTTTTGTAATTGGTTGGACGGTAAAAGCAATAACTTACTTCACCGGCGAGGTTTTTTTTGTTCAAGATGACCTAGCTGCGTCAAAAAAAAGAGAAAAGAATATAATAAAAAAATATTTTTTATTTTAAAAAATATATTAAAATAATATTTTTTTTATTTTAAAAAATTATTTTTAATATCAAAACTATCTAAAAATATATAAAATAAATTAAAATATTTAATTTTCTTAAAAATATTTTTAAAAGATAACTTTTAAAACTTTTTAACTTGGTGGTTGAGTAACAAGATGTAGGTGTTTTGTTTTATATATTTTATTAATTATTTTAATATTTTAATATAAAAAATAGTGTTTTAAAATAAAAAATTTATTATTTTAATATATTTTTAAGTATCAATCCTCGTGAATGGATCTTGTTGTGTTTGAAAAAGAAATGGAAATTATTTATTTACCTTTAGGCTTTCCCGATAAAGTGGCAGAAATCGAATTCTTAACCATTTTATTATTAATTTTAATTTAGAGATTTAAACTATTAATAAAAGTATATTAATTGCTAACTCAACACCCTTCAAGTCTCCGCTTTGGGCAAGGAGGCAGAAATCAAGGGCATGTGGATTTGGGACTGCTTGCACGAGTGTTGCTCTAAATGGCTTGTCTCCCCTTTGCCATTAGCACGTGTAAGTTGCCCTATCGTTTTTTCCTGGTCAGAAAAAAAAGGACGTTGAAGATCGGGTCATGATCGTAATTGAGGGAAAAGTAACCTCTATGATATAATTTCGTAAATTCGGAGCATCTTTATTTGAGAATCAGTAACGGAAAAGTTTCTGTAGGGGAGTCGTTGCGTGGAGGTCTAAGTTTCATGGAGGAGACTTTCGTGCCACCTCATGAGGAAATTCAAGATCACTCTTAAGGGATCCACGTCACTCAACAATATTTTATTTGTTTATTTATTTATCCACGCTTATCTTCGAGCTGAGCACCTTAAAATTTGATACCAACTAAAGTCGAATCCATAGAAAGCGAGACTTTTCTTCAAATTTCTTGAGATGAAGGAATTAGTGCGCGCGCACGTGTTTTACGAGGTGTGCGTGTATATATATATACACACACTGATTTTTTTTTAATTTTGATAAAGATAGCTGTTTTAAATCCAATAGAATAATTAGAGTAAATTTATCATATAAAAATCAGAATATCTTTAACCTAAAATAAAAAGATATATTCGAATATTTAAAAAAAGTCAGTGAGCACCAATTTGTGAGGTGGGAGATGAGAAAATAAAGAGATCGAATAAAAGATCAATATAAATTGTTTGTTTTTGTTTTTTTAGAAATGTTTTTCAAAAAATTTAAAAAAAAATTATTTTTTTATTTACTTTAAATTAATATATTTTTAGTATTTTTAAATTATTTTGATATATTGATATTAAAAATAAAAATTATTTATATATATTTTAATATAAAAAATTATTTAAAAATTAACATCAACGATATTTTCAAACAACCTAAACCATCATTAAGTTGGCAACAATTTTATTTTGTAAGTTTTGTTTAAAATATAAAAATTTAATCTGATGATGCTGGACTCGAGATTTATTTATTTATATAAAAAAGAGATCACCATCCATATCTTGCCGCCCACATGGAAAACGGGTTAATGGGTTTCTTATGCAAATTGTAAATAGCAAATGAGTCGTTTTCTTTAAAGTTACTGGTGACAGCAAGGAGTTGGCAGATTTTGGACGTCAACTTCTTTGTTTAGAAAAGTCAAAGCATTGGTGCTTGCTCCACTTGCTTTTGTTTTATTAAATTGTATATAAACAGCAATCCAATCAGATAAATTTATTTACTTCTGTTGTTTAATGTCAATTTGGCATGGATACAAGACATCAGATTGCACTTATTACTTCTATATTACAAAGTGAAAATAAAATAAAATAAATATACTTTAAAACCAAATCTCAAGACAATATCGAAAGCTTTCAGATTGCCAGGTGTCTTTATTATATTCTCTCGAAGAGCGGGGCCCCCTTCCAGGTTTCCTACCGACCATCTACGACCCCCACCGGTGGGCTTTCGACAGATTCCATCCACATGTACGGTTGTGATGCCGTTGAGCAGGAGCGTCACTATCAAAGACAGCGTCCACTAAGCAACAACCCCATTTGGCATTTGGAACCACCCCTGCTGGACCCCACAGACGTGGACATCTTGGGGACACGTGGCGTGCAGGGTCAAAAGAATATAGGAACCCATCACTGATATTTTTTTCTAAAGTTTTGTTCGGCAGGTAATTAAATGCTTTTTTTTATATATTTTTTTAGCGCAAAAATCAAGGTTAATGTTTGGGAGTTTTATTAAGTCTATATGAGTATATAAAATAGATATAAATATTGAATAATGTAAATTTAAAATAATTAAAAAAAACTTTGTATTAATCAACATGTAAACTATTTTTAATATATAAGAAAAAAAATACCGATCTCCAGGCACGTTACGACAATAGTACAATGCAGATATGCAGGGAGTGCCTGGAGGGATGTATGTGAAGGGGGACCCTTGGGTTATGGGCAGAGAGAGAGGAGAAGCGTCCATGACAGTGACAGCACGCATCTGTCTGTGGTTTTCTTTCCTCCTTTCTTCCTAACTACCACGATAACGCCACACGTTACATGACAGCTCCTCCTTTTTTGGGGGCCACACCACACGTGCCCACCAGGTGTTGCTGTCTCATGGTGTGTGACGATTTCAGACTTGTGAATTAAAAAATAAAAAATCGAATAAAAATGTTACTTATTCGCCGGTGATCGATGAATTACTGCTACACAGTCAACACGACTCCGTTCCGGTGTGCTGCGCTTCGGATGGAGATGGTCACTCAACAATTCATTTCATTTTAGTAGTCATTTGGTTAGAAATAAAAAGGTTTAAAGAAAAAATGAAGGATCCTAATAGAAATCAAATAACTTTTTCTTGGTGAGCTACACTTCTGAAATACCTTGCCTCCCATCCAAGACCCCTTTTTTTTTAAATAAAAAATAAAAAGATAATAAAAAGAAGACGAGTGGTTTGAAAAAAGTAGGCTAAAAAAAAATTTTAATATATAAAAAAATTAAGATGCAATTTTAAATGAAATTAAAAGCTTAATCGTATCTTATTATATCCAAAATTGGAAAGATAATACAAATTTAAGGTCAAATTAAATAAATATTGAATAAATTTGATTTAATCATGAGTCAAATTAAAATTTTAATTATATTTAAGAAATTTGAATGCAAAGACTTAATTATACTATAAATAAGTCAAATTAATTTTAGTAAGGACTTAATTGGTGAAAAATTACGTTTGAAAGTCCAACTTTGGTTTAATTGAAAAGATTGAGATTTTAGAGGATCAAACTTAATTGATTCAAGTAAAGGAAAGTCTAACTTTGGTTTAATTGAAAAAATTGAGATTTTAAAGGATCAAACTTAATTGATTCAAGTAAAGGATAAAATTATAAGAAATTCAAAGTTTAAAGTCAATTAGGAATTAAATTGAAAAAATTCATAGTCAAGAACCTTTTTTGAAAAGGCGTCAAATTCTAGGGACTTAATTTGATTAAATGCAAGAGTAAAATTGAAGAAATTAAAAGTTTAATGGTCAATTAAGAGTAAATTTGCATAAATTCTAAATCAATGGTCTTTTAAAAAAAGATGTTGAAATTTAGATTTGATATTAAAGTTCAGCAGAGAAAAAATTACATGAAGTTAAAAGTTTTAAGCTAATTAGATACGCATTTAAGAGTAAAAAAACTAAATTGAACTAAATTAAACTAAATAAAAAATTGAATAAAAATGTTACTTATTCGCCGGTGATCAATGAATTACTACTACACAGTCAACACGACTCCGTTCCGGTGTATTGTGTTTCGGATGGAGATGGTAACTCAACTATTCATTTCATTTTAATAGTCATTTGGTGAGAAGTAAAAAGGTTTAAAATAAAAATGAAGGATCATAATAGAAATTAAATAACTTTTTCTTGGTGAGTTACACATCTAAATGAGGTCTAACAAATTCTTGATAGTAACACTTAATATTTCAGAGTAAAAAAAATAAGAAAAAGAAAAAACCTACTAGTAAAAACAGAGAATACTAAAGAAATTTCTGAATTATCTTGTCATCCATCCAAGACCTCCTTTTCTTTTAAAATAAAAAATAAAGTGATAATAAAAAGAAGACTGGTGATTTGAAAAAAGCAAGCTAAAAAGAATTTTAAATATAAAAAAAAAAATTAAGATGCAATTTTAGATGAAATTAGAAGCTTAATCGTATCTTATTATGCCCAAAACTAGAGAGACAATACAAATTCAAGGTTAAAATAAATGATTATTGGATAAATTTG